AAAAAAAAAAAAGAGAGACAGAATTAGGGGTATGTAGAACATAACCAGAACAAAGGCTATTTATAATATTATTACATATAAAATTAAATTAATCCAATTTCCTTATAGCAAAGTATTCATTAAGTAATTATTGCATGAAAAAATATTACTTAACCTCAATTTCATGTTTTCAAATGCTGATTATTAATAATAGCTAACACTGACTAAGTACTTACTGTGTACCAGAAACACATATGTAGATTATGATGTATAAATATTTTTATATTCTATTAATCTTTAAAAGTCCTATGAAATAAGGCAATTATCCCCATTTTATACAAATGGAAGAAATTTTCAAAGGACAGATCCGGAGAGTTGAGCCATTATCTGTAGATAATTACGGATTAGGAAACCGGTGGCCAGGAGCATAATTGGGCTATAATGAAAGAACATTCCCGGTGCCAGAGAAGAGGACGCTGACAATGTGCCCAGTTGGATTCAAAATTGCTATGGACTAGTGACTACATTATGGTCTAAATAGGAACTATTACTAATTACAAGATCCTGGATTTTGAGCCTGAATTACAACTTTTATCTTTGAAATTTGTTTTATAGTACCACATATGTGTTGTGGTGATATTCCATGTGCCTTTGAAAAGAATGTATATCCTCTTAAAAATGATAAAGATTTTAAATTATACATGTATAGTTTACCTCAATAAAAAGTAATTAAAAAAATAATGTGTACTCATAGATACTGAATGAAATCAATTAGGTGAAGTTAGCTAATAGTATGGCTCTAATCTTCACTGTCTCTACATATTTTTGTCTTCTTTGCTGTCAGTTACTGATGGAAGTAGGTGAAAGTCCCCAAGAATGAGTGCAGACTTGTCAGTCTCTCCCTTTAGTTCTGACAATTTTTGGTTTTTGTATTTAGAAGCTCTGTTATTAGATGTAAACATATTAGTCTTGTTATATCTCACTGATGAGTTACCCATTTTATCATTAACCAATTCTTTTCTTTTTGCTGGTAATATCCTTTGTCCAAAACTTTCAACATTTTAATTCCAC